ATAGGGGCTGGACTGTTAAAATGATATGCCAGGTTCGTAGAATCTATCTGCTACACGATATATGCACCATTGAGAATTCAAACATTGGACACTACTTTATATTGTTGTGTGCCATTGTGACCCTGTGTGTAGCAGAAGGACACACTGCCTGGGTCTCTGCTGTCCTCACAGTCGCTTCTGAGCCCACTGTGTCGTCCATGTCACAAGGACCTTCCTCTCTTTCACCTCAAGCGTGATGTTTTTCTCCAGTAACAAGCCCCTTCTGATAAGGTCCCTAATGTATGTTAGAAAAGCCTCACTGTCCTGGCTTCTAAGAGGCTTTCTGACTGCACTTCTCCCAAGACAGATGTGTTCGTTCTTTGGCAGTCCAGGGTGCATTCAGTGTCCTTCAACAGCACAACAACTCAAAGACTTCAGTGTCCACTCGTTATTCAGCTTTAACTTGCATATGAGTTGATTGAAAATACACTGGCTTAGGTCAGGCGCACCTCACTCTTTGTATGACAGTCTTGCTCTGTAGCACCGTAAAGAGGCTCTTCACAGCACATTTACCCAACTTAGTACATCATTTGATCTCTTGACTGCTTCAGCCATGCTTGTTGGTAATGGATCCCAAGAAAAGGAAATAAATCCTTGGCAACATCAATCTTTCACCATTTTTCACTATTTTGCTTATTCATAAGTTACAAGGATTTTTGTTTTCTTGATGTTAAGGTATATATATCATACTAAAGACTAAAGTCTTTGCACTTCAGTAAATGCGTTTGAACTCTTTATTTTTTGCAAGCAGAGTTGTGTCACCAGCATATTACAAGTTGTTGATGATTCTTCCTCCAATCCTGATGCCATGGTCTTCTTTCCCAAGTGGTCCAGCTTCTCCAGTTATTTGCTCAGTATACAGGTTTCTTGTATTAAACCATGCAGTATCTCCTTGTTCTATTCTAAGGACGTCTTCTTAAGTATTCGTAATTGTAAATTTGTAATTGTAAAAACCAAGTGTTTTAAAATTCCTGCTCTTCAGAGTGTTACCCATAATTTATTATGATCCACATAGTCAAATACCTTTACATAGTCAACAAAACACAAGAAACATCTTTCTGTTTTCTTTCGACTAAGATCCTTCAGACATATCACCAGTGATATCACCTGGTCCACGTCCTCTTCTAAATGCAGCTTGGATTTCTGACTCCCTGTTAATATATTACTCTAGCCATTTTAAAATCCGCAAAATTTTACCTGCCTTTGACATTGTTCTGTAGTTTTCATACTCTGTTGGGTTTTATTTCTTTATAATGGTCACAAATATGAATCACCACCAGATGGTTGACCAGTTCACTGTCTTCCAGTTGTCTTGGTCTAGATGAATGAGCACACGCAGCCCTGCATCTATTTATTGAAACGTCTCACTAGGTGTTTCTTCAAATCCTGGAGCCTTGTTTATCACCAACCCCTGTAGTGCCGCTTGGAGTTTTTCAGTAACATTGGTCCTTGATCGTGTATTTCCTCCTGGAATAGTTACGCATGGACACATTCTTTTTGGTACAGTGATACTGTGTATTCCTCCTTTATATATCATTTTGAAAATCTCCTCTCTTTGCTGTGGAATCAGAAACGAGTCATAACTGACCCACCACTGGGTTTTCTTAGGTGACTGTAAATCACATAGGAGGAGACTGCCCATCTTTGACCCTTGGAGCTCCTCTTGGATTCGGACCACCAGGGAGGCTAAGCTCCCCATGGACTAGACCACCAGGACAGTACTTGCGTCATAGCCAGAGAATATTTCTCCCTTGTAAAAGCTGACTGACAGATAAGTAGTATCTAAAGCCTTGCAGAGTGAGAGGAAAACAAATAGCATAAAAGAGATGATCCCCTCTACCAGGGAGGCACAAAGCTGGGGGAAGGAGTCTGATTAGAACCTGGGTGTGGCCAGTCCTCGGTAAGCACTTTCTCTTCATTTCTGCTGGAAAATTAAATTAAGCACAGCCATCTTTGCAAAGTAAATAAAAGCTGGTCTTTTTAGATCATCAGCACTTTCTGTTACTAATAATTACTTAGAAATTGAAAGCAGTGGCAATAAATGGGAAGAAAGAGGGATAAAAACCCTTACAGAGGGAGCAGACGTGGGCTCACACACAATTAACTGCATGTGCACACACACACACACACAGAGAGAGAGAGAGTGTCTGTGCTGGGCTTCGGGAGGGCGTCCCGGCATGAGGACAGCCGAGAGGAATTTCCATTCACCCGTTAAGCAAATATTTATTGAGGAACTAGGATGTACCAGGCTTCATATTTCTTGCTGCCCATAGTCCTTTGAGTTTTCAGGTCATTTATTTTAAGGAGGCAAAATTGCAGTTTGCTGTTTTTCAAGCCCAAATGCTTCCAGCTCAAGAATTGACTTTGATTGTTGGGCTAATGAATTTGCGCAGCGTTCTGAGAAGTGAAAGTGATAAAGGAGAATTATTATTTTTTCTTGTTGTAAAACTAGACAGCACAAAACAGCAACAAAAACATTGTAAGACTGATAAGATTCTTTTTGGTACAGTGATCCTGTGTATTCCTTCTTTACATATCATTTAAGAAATAAGCCCAAGAAATAACCAATAAGAAGTTGACTGCTTTATTAGAACTGTTATATCTCTTTCCAGTAAATGAATATGTAAAATCGGTTTGAAGTGCATGATTAGTTGTTGCTGGTGTTAGGTGTTGTCAAGTCGATGACAACTCATCGCAACACTATATAAACCACAGGTGTAAACCTGGCTTTATCTTGCACCCTCCCCACAATCTCTGAAATGCTTACCCCAATTGTTGCAGTCACAGTGTCAGTCTGTCTTGTTGAAGGTCTTCCTCTCATTCGCTGACCCTCCGCTTTCCCCAGCATGACTTGCTAAGACTTAACAGAGCCAGCTGTAAGTAGCTTCTTTGGATAATAGAGGAGTCCCGAGTGGCCGTTTGGAGTGAGCAGGGAGGCGCATTCCACCAGAGGGCGCCCATCTGGCTCTGCAATGAAGACAGAGTCCCCTGTTTTAATTAGCCAGAATTAGCATAACAAGGCAAAGGAAGCCTGATGAGTGCCTTGTTTTTTGTTGTTGTTTTTTTTTTTTGGCTTTTTTTCTCTATAATTATATTTTATTAATTTTCATAAACATTTACAGAGATTTTGGGTTTCCATTCATTCATTGTTGCACTATTCTCTCTACCCTCCTCCCAGTTTGTTCTTGTCCAAATGCCACAGTGCTTGTCAAAGCCAGTTCTGATTAATCTTCTTTGTCAGTGTGTCCTTTGCCATTCCCTATCACTCCTCCCTGAGAGAGACTTCACCCTGAGTCATAAGGAAAAGTGGATGGCGTATTCTCTTAGCTACTTCCTGCTGAAAAGGGACGCTGTGGGTTTCAGGGTGAAGATCTTCTCTCACTACTCTAAAGGGCCCCTTTGGCAGTAGGAAACACATAGACTATTATGGAGATTGATTTTGGAATTTAGATGCAGTCTTACTGATTGTGCTTGGCCGTACATGTTCATATCCTTGAAGATGTATCATGGGGGTGTTGCAACCTAGAAGACACAAATTTGACTAACAAGTTATAAGTACATTAGTCCAAAAATTATGGAAAAGTAAAAGAAAAGATTCTTTCATTGTTTTACAAACCCTCCCCCAGGTCCCCTCCACCATGTAGCCCTCGCTCTAGTCTCCTGTGATGACAGAAATACCTAGTTATATATCTCTTTTAGACAATTTTCTCCCTCCTCTGTTTCAGTGCAGTATACATTATTGAACCCATCTTACTCAGTCTCTCCCCAACCCTGAGGTTAGTCCCATTCCACAACAGTGGCATCATGTAATATTTGTCCTTTTGTGACCGGGATATTTCACTCAGCATAATGTTCTCCAGAGTCAACCATTTTGAATAATATTGCATGAGTTCCTTGTTTTTTAATGCATAGTATTCCATTGTGCGAATATACCACAGCTTCTCTAGCCATTCGTTTGTTGATGGGCACTTAGGTTGTTTCCAACTCCTTGCTATTGTGAACAAAGCTGCAATAAACATGGGTGTGCATATATCTGCTTGGATGTCAGCTATGGTCTCTTCAGGGTATATTCCCAGTAGTGGAATTGCTGGGTCAAATGGTATCTCTATTTGCAACTTTTTGAGAAAGCGCCATACTGCTTTCCACAGGGGTTGCACCATTTTACACTCCCACCAACAGTGAATCAGGGTTCCAGTTTCTCCACAACCTCGCCAGCATTTGTTGCTTGTTGTTCTGTTAAATTTTGCTATTTTGACTGGGGTGAAATGATATCTCATAGTTGTTTTCTGATGAGTGCCTTGTACAACCATATTTATAAGAATCTTAAGCTCCAGGGAGCTCTGGTGGCCTAGTGGCAAGAAGCTGTACTGCAATCCCAGAGGTACACAGTTTGAATCCACCAGATGCTCTGCTGGAGAAGGAGGGGCAATCTCCTCCTGTACCAGTCAGATCCGATTTGATGGTACACACACAAAAAAAATAATAAACTTTTTTTAAAATAAAGAATCTTAGGCACCCTACAAAAAACAGGCCACATAAACCGTGTTTTCACATTACATTTTAGTTATTGTAACTTCATTTACCTTTAGATTTTTCTTGCTGTTGGGGCAGGAACAAAATAATTGTCTCCACTGAGATACATATCCACTATCTAGGGCTTAGACAAGATAGTCTTTTTCTTTCCTAGTAAGTTATTCCTTGGAGAAGCATATCATGTTTAGAAAAGTGGACGGTGAGCGAAACAGAGGAAGACTGTGAACCAGCTGGATTGACGCAGAGACTGCAGTAACAGGCTCAAGTCAGAGGTGACGGGGATGGCAAAGGCTAGGCCGTGGGTCACAGGGTCGCTATGGGTTGTGCTCTACAGCACCTTTCACCAGCAATTCCTTCATGATTTTTTTTTTCCTGTTTTGATGGTCATTGATTTCATAGATTTGTTCCCTCTCTGTCTTTCCTACCAGTTTACTTCGGTGTCCCCAACAGTTCCTGAATTCTTGAAAACTCCTCCTGCGGATCAGCCTCCCACAAGGTCCACCGCACCCATTGCCCCCCCAAACACGGTGTCCTCAGTGAAGCCTGGGCCAGCACTGGTAAAGGTGGGTAGCCGGGCCACACTGGCCTGGTCCTTCACTCCTAACTACTGTTAACACCCTGTAAGCTGAAAGCAGCTCTCCGTGCATTTATCTAAGACCCCCAGTCTGCCTTCCAGCCTGTAGCCTTAAAAACAAAACCACAGAGAACTTGCTAGAACTCTGTGTTAATGTGTGAAACTACACCCTTAACTCCTGGCCTGCTGTGAATTTGACAGACATTTGACTAACTGGTTTTAGAAACAGACTTACGTACAGATACAGAGAAATGCCACAGAATTTGGTCTAGACAAGACTCCTGGAGCACCACCAAAAAAAAAAAATTTAAAAAAAAAACACCCCAACTGCTCCAGGTTCATTTTGTCAGCAATTCTCGATTCTGCTACCACCACGGCAGACAGACGAAACGTGGGGAAAATAAGGTAGTTGCCTCATCACAACATTTGTGACTCACCAGCCACACAGATGTCTTTAATGGCCACATGGTTTTAGGGTTTAATTCCCCAGGAATATCCGGCACACAGATGTTGAGTCCCATCCCCCATAAAGCCAATTGTATTAAAAAGTCAAGGTGCATAAAATGGTCCGTCGTGACAAATGGTCACTACTTTATGAAGTACATCAACATATTTGGATGATGGTGGTGATGATGATGATGATGATGATGATGATGATGATGATGATGATGATGTTAAGGAGCCTTGATATCAGGTGCCAGTGGCTAAGTGCTCAGCTGCTGACCTAAAGGATAGTTGTTCAAACCCAGCAGACCTTTCATGAGAGAAGGAGGTGGCAGTGTACTTCCATGAAGATTACAGACAGGGGAAACCCTGCCTCTGCGGTGTGCTCAGTCTGGTGAGTCAGGTTCACTGTGAATCTGAGGCTTGAAGGGGTTTTGCTTATTATTTTGAAGATGTTATAATGTATCTCAAATTTTTTTTTAGTGTTTCTGGAAGTACTTCATTCATTTTTTTTTATATGTAGAAAAGTACACTGTCTACTAATTATTGACTAACTGGTGTCAGGTATGAACCATATGTAAGTGTTGTGACTTACTTACAAAGTCGCCTACAGATAACTTTAGGAATGAAATAAAGTCCTGACTGGAGTCCACCTCAATCAGTATATATTATCTAATGGCAGGAAGCTGTCCTGCAATCCCAGTGGCGCACAGTTTGAATCCACCAGCTGCTCTGTGGGAGAAAGATGGGCAATCTCCTCCCACGCTATTAACTGCCTCAGAAAATCTGCCAGAGGGTCATCCATGGGTCAGTTCCGACTTGACGGTACACGACAACAACAAACATAGATCAATACATGTATATAACATGGTGTTCTCCAAGTTTAAGTCACAGCACATCTTATTTCACGGAACACACCATTAACACAACTTAGGACTGTATACTCTATTTCTTAATGTGGTTTTTTTTGTTTGTTTGTTTTTTTAATTTTTATTTTATTATTTTTGTGTGACTGTACCGTCAAATCAGATCTGACTGGTGCAGGAGGAGATTGTCCCTCCTTCCCCGGCAGAGCATCTGGTAGATTCGAACCGTGCGCCTCTGGGATTGTAGTTGCAGCTCCTTACCACTATCTTAATGTGTTTTTTAAAGTATATTTAGAATTGCTAAATAAAGGGAGAGAAAAGTTAACTGAGGAGTAGCTTGATTGTTTCATATGTGCTTTTTGCCTAAACTAGAGAAACTTAAGCCATTAGAAAGGAGCATGAGAGAACCAGTCACCAGCCCTGTCCTCCCTCTCAGATGGGGAAGGAGACTAAAGCCTGAGGAAAATAAGTGACAACGCGAGGACAGACCCTGGCCCCCGAATCCCCGCTACCCATCTCAGTCCATCAGGTGCAGCATGGTCCTGGGCAGGGAATATCTCCCAGCTCACCGTGGCGCATGTGTATCTTGTACCTTATGTCTGTCGACCTGTCAGCCCTTGCCATCTGACCTTCGTAGAAAGAATTGTACTCCAAGCTTTTTTTATCAGTCTAGCCAGGCACACACGGCCTCAGTCATCTACCACTGTCTTCCCTGAGTTAGCAATAGAGCCAGAAATTCAAGAGCGGGTCAGCAGTGCCAGTGCAACAGCTCTCACCTCCTCCTACTACCTTCTCACATGTGCCCCACGGAGAGTAGAGGGCAGAGGGCCAGCCGTCCGTTCCTCCAGGGACTGAGAATCTCTTCCTGGCTCCCCTGTGCTCCGAGGTTCTGTTCTTTACTAGCATCTGTAAGGTACAAGGACTTTGCTTCTAATGAAAGAAACACTGTTTAAGAATATTATATTCTCTGAGGGTGGAGAGGGAGGAAAATGTGCAACAAGGAATGAATGGAAATTCACGTTTTCCATAAACTTTTATTAAAATATTAATTTAAAAAAATAATAGGAAATGCTTGTGACTGTATCAGGAAAGGACAGAAACACGTGAGGAAACAAACTATCATTCTTTGGACTTCCCGATGAGGCTAGCTGCTTCTCAGCGTCATGCACAGAGAAAACAGGCTTGCGCTGGCCAGTAGTTGGAAGCACATCGAGTCCGCAGAGTCCTGATTCTGTGTGTCTGCCCTGGTTCTGTCCCTGCTGGGTGACTGGCAGGGTCAGTAGTGAGGGTTTTTTGTCATTACGTAGCCGTTTCCTCAGCTCTGTGCCACTCAGACTCCACTCATCCAGGATCTCTATAAAAACCTTAGACATAAAATTTATTGTCAGTTGTAGAACTAACAGATGACAGTGAGTTGATTATTTTTATGCGATTATAAAAGAGATGATTCTTTTTTGGCAGTGATGTATAGATGTGAAGGATCAGATAATTGAGGTTTTTCCCCATTAGCATGTGCATTCACAATTATTGGTTCAGCAGATACTTACTCAGTGCCTACTAAGTGTCAGGCCCTGTTTGGATGCTGCTGTTGCCAACTCTGCCTCCTGGTGACGCTGTGCACAGCGGGACGAATTGCTGTCCAGTCCTGAACTGTCCTCAAAGTCATTGCAAAGTTGCAGTCTGTTATTGACTTTGCTTTGAGGCAACAGGTCTTCCTCAGTCATATTTTGAATGCCTCCCAGTTTAAGGGGCTCATCTCCCAGCACTGTATCGGACAGTGTTCAGCTACTATCTACAAGGTTTCCACTGACTAATTTTTTGAAGGGGCGGGGCGGGTAAACCCGAGAGAATGCAGAAGTTGTAGAAGACTATCATTAATGTCATTATCACTAATATGAAAAGGTTAACTCATTTTGAAGATAGTTTTAAAATGACTAAAGCAGTATTTTTTTAAAAAAATTATATTGCCAGGTCCTTCTTCCTCATCGTCTCAGTCTGTAAGTAAACTTGTTCACCTATTACCCTGCTGCTGTTTGAAATGTCAGCAGTGTAGCTCCTAACATCACAGCAACATGCTGCCACAGAATGACAACATGACAGGTCCCGGGCATGATAAAGGATCCCTGGTGGCTTAGTTATAATGTGTCAGGTTGCTTACGGTTGGCAGTTCAAATCCACCATTCACCCCACAGGAGAAAGACCAGCAGTCTCCTCCCATAAAAATTGACAGCCTTGTAAACCTAAAGAAGGATCGCTGTGATTTGAAACCTGCTCAGCAGCAGAGGGTTGGCTTGGGTTGGTCAAGCATAGATACAGCAGTGAAGCAAACAACACAAATCCCTACCCTTGGATGAGAGTGGAGACCTAAACAGAGTGTGTCAGTAGGTAATAAAGCATGGACAGGAGGTGCTGGGGAGACATTTGTGTTTTAAACAGATTGACAGAAGACAAATAAGCAGATAACAGAAGTGAGGGAAGTTGTCGTCAGGATATTCGAGAAAGAAAATGTGAAGCCGGTGTGCCTGGACACAGGGTGGCCAGGAGACCCTCATATGGACTAAACCCGAACCAGAATTCTGTAAAGCCCTGAAAGAGGCAGGCTTTTCACCACAGCTGAGACTGGAAGCTGCTGGATCTGAGCAGATGTGTTGAAAACAGCAGAAGTGGACGCAGAGGCTGTTAAAGGTCTGACCCACTGCAAGAGACAAGTGGCAGCCTCCCAGGGCTCCTGCCTGCTCCCTCCAAAGTCTGTACCCGCGGGCTTTGCTGACAGATGATGTTGCACGTGGAGATAGAGAGAGTGTCACTCTACCGTATTTGTCTGAGCCACTAGAAACTGGCATCTCCTGTGACATGAAGGAGGACACCTGGAGCTTGAGGAGCTTATTAACCTGTTTATTCATAGCTACCATACGGAAAGCCAGCACAGAGCCCACATCTGTGTGGGCAGTTAAATGCCAGGCTGGGAACTTGTGCAAGGTTTCCACTGATGACTTCTATTTTTTTTTATTGTTTAGAAAGTATACTCATCAGTTGAAGTAATAAAGATCTGGTGAGAAATAAGGCATGAGATAGTGTTCAGAAAGAATAGGAAAATAAATGCCTATGTATAATAAAGGATCACTTGAACTTGGTAGTCATATTTTAAAGTGAGACTTATCAGCTTGCTGTCCTGGGGTTTTTTTATTGGGGTGGGGTTTTTTTGGTTTCGTTTGATATGGTTTGGGTTTTTTTTTTCAGCCTCTCTTTCTGCGTCATAAGTACAGGCATGAAATGGACCAATGACTCTCGACAGGGGACTTAGCCCACTATCCCAGAAACATTTGGTAACTTCTAGAGGCAGAAGGTCAAGGACTGCAGCCTTCAATATAGATTGAAGTTAAACATCAAGAAAACAAAGATCCTCACCACTGAACCAATTGGTAGCATCATGATAGATGGTGAAGAGATTGAGATTGTTAACAGCTTCGCTTGCTTGGCTCCACAGTCAGCATTCTTGGGACCAGCAGCCAGAAAATCAAGACTAATTTAATTGGGAAAATGTGCTCTCAGGGACCTCTCCAGAGTACTGAAGAACAGCGATGTCAGTCTAGAGACTAAGGTGTGCCTGACCCAGACCATGGTCTTCTCAGTTGTTATGCATCAGAGCTGGACAATCAGTAAGCATGATAGAAGAAGAGTTGATAATACTTTGAACTGTATTGCTGGAGAAGAATATTGAATATACAGTGGGCTTCTAGGAGAACAAACATGTTTAACCTGGAGAGGGTGAAACCAGGCTGCTCCTTGGAGGCAAGGATGTTGAACCTCTATCTGATACATTTGGGGCATGTTGCCAAGAGGGGCCAGTTCTTGGAAAGAGACATCATGCTTGGAAGGGTGAAGGGACAGCACAAGAGAAAAAGATCCTGGATGGTATGGATTGACTCAGTGACTGTCGTCATGGGAATAAGTGTATCAGAGACAATGCATTTGGCTCAGGATAGAGCAAGGTTCAAAGCCATTGTACATAGGGTCGCATAGAGTCAGCCACAGGTAACTTAACAACACAAAATAACAGCAACAAGAGACATTTTGCTAACATCTTGACAAGGAAGACCTGTTACCATGACTATTGTTCAGATTTACCCACCAACCACCATAGCCAAAGATGAAGACATTGAGAAATCTGTCAGCCTCTGCAGTCTGAAATTAATCAAACATGTAATGAAAATACATTCACTGTTGGAAATGAAATAAAAACAAGCTTTGGTGGTTGGAAAATGGCCTGGGTGACAGAAATGAAATCAGAGAACATATTGGTAGAATTTTGTACAACCAACAACTTATTCATCACACACAAACAACAGCTACACACATAGACCTCACCTGATGGAATACAACAGTTCCCCTCAACCAAGAACAGCCCACTTCAAGCTATCAACTAAAATTCTGTTGGGAACCTGGATTAAAGGGAGAGTTGAGTTTAGGGTTGCTAAATGAGCAAGCCAGCGGGTGGACCATGCGAGTTAATGGACTGTGAGGCATGGTGGGTTAAGGCAAGCAACTGGGGGCAGTGTAAAGTCATCGTTGTTGTTGTTTTGTTGTTGTTGTTGTTGTGTGCTCTCAAGTTGCCAACGACTCACAGTGACCCTGAGTATAGTAGCCCTGAAACCTGCTCTGTCCTGTGCCAACCGCACTGTCTCTGACACACCTACCCTTATTACCCCAGTCACTGAATCACTCCATCTCATTGATGGTCTTCTTCTCTTTCTCTGTCCCTCCACCCTCTTTGCAACATGCCACAATATGTCAGATGAAGCCTCAGAATCCTTGCCTCCAAGGAGCAGCCTGGTTTCACCCTCTCCTGGATGAAACTGTTTGTTCTCCTAGCAGTCCATGGTATATTCAATACTCTTCTCCAACACCAGAGCTCAAAGGCATCAATTCTCTTTCTGTTATCTCTTGTCATTGTCCAGCTCTCTTGATAGATAGCAAGTTTGTAAACCCCTATGCCATCAAATATTTTTTGGGGATGGGGTCCAGGATGAAATTAGTTTTTAAAAAAAAAAAAAAAAAGCCCAGGGGGTGGCTGTGAAGTACTAGGATGCAGGGAAATGAGGTGATAATTTCCAATCATGACTAGGTTGTGACCATAAAAGTGAGTGGCTGAGGCGAGCTCTGGTGGCCTAGTGGCAAGAAGCTGCACTGCAATTCCAGAGGTGTGCGGTTCAAATCCACCAGATGCTCTGCTGAAGAAGGAGGGACAATCTCCTCCTGTACCAGTCAGATCTGATTTGACAGTACACACATAACGAAATAATAATAATAAAAAAATCTAAAAAAAAAGTGAGTGGCTGAGATAGAGGATGAGGTAGTTAGAAGAAAACACATTTTAAAATCTAGAGGTTAGACTGTTAGAAGGCTCACGGACCATTACCAGAGCAGAGTTGGAGAGTGAGAAAAAGAAAGCAAGTCCTGGGATTAAGTCAAGTCTAAAGAAAGGACAGGCCTGTGGTTGATTCTGAAACCCTGAGATCCATAAGAAGCAGCATTTTCATTATTTACAAATCCTCGGTGTGTAGAACGAGGCTAGTGGTATGCTAGGAAAGGTCTCACCTAACTCTCCAAGAGGGACAGTTTGTATCCTTTGCCAGTTCCTGTGGTATAAGTGCTCTTACCATGCAGTTTCCAGATCTTAACCTGGGAGAACATGCACAGTCAAGATTGCCCCGAGCACTCCTTGGGAAGCTCCTTAAATTGTCATCAAACCTCTGGTTGCAGAAAATGTTTCTATGATAAGGGAAGGTGTTAACAGTATGTAAGTGAAGGGGAGAAAGGCATATTTCTGATAAGAATGTATGACATCGTCATAGTAAACTTAACAAGTGAATAAGAAGAATATACAAAAATATTAAGAGTGCGTTTTTCTGGTCTGCTTTGCTTTGCTTTTTTCCCCTCATAATTTTTAATTCTTTCAACTTGAACATACATAGCATGATAGTATAATGCATCAATGAACTTTCTTTAGTACTTCTTAAAATAGCTTCTGGTTAAGTAGAACTTTTTGCTTAAGGCAGCTGAGGAAAAATATCTTACACCTTGTTTTTTAGAATTGACTTTGCAGTGAAGTTATTTTAGTAATAGATTTATATTGAGAAATAAAACATCTCATAAGTTACAAGTGTAGGGGAAAAATAATTCAGAGGGAAAGTCTGATTCTTACAAGATAAGGAACACATGATCCCACTCTCCATTTTTAAAATAAATAATGTCTTTTTAAAGAGCATCTTACTCAGTAGATTCATTCTTGTATTGGTTTCATAATCCAAAACCAAAAATTCAACTGCCATTGGGTCAATTCTGACCCAATAGTCAACCTTCCATCAGGTTCCTAAGGTTTTAAATGTTTTTGGAAAGAAATCACCCATCTTTCTCCCTTAGAAGGACTGTTGGATTTGAATTGCTGACCTTTCAGTTAGAAGCCTGGTGCATACTCCAGGACTCCTCTTTTCTATTATCATACCCAGCTTCTGTTTTTCATAGATTTTTTTTTAATGCCACTAAAACATTACAGCTTTATAATGAAATAACTTTAATCTTTTTCATACCGTATATTTAGTAGATAGCCTGTTTTTCACTTGAGATAATATATGAAGCCTTTAGCAGTATGTCGACGGAAGAGACCCAAAGTATACATTTACCGGATTTGAATGGAGAATGTTGCTGGACTTAAGTGTTTTGCTATTACCCTCAGAGAGCAGCATAGCAGGGGAAAACATAAGTTCTTAGAAGGTGGATTTCTTCCTCAATGTATCTATAAAATGTTTCCATGATTCTTGCATTGTACTTTGTATGCTGCTTTCCAAAGTGACTGCACCAGTCACACAGGGCCAGCTCTTAAACTGTTCTTTACTTCCTTCTCCAAAACAGCAAAGCCATCCCAAGAATCCAAACGACAAACACCGTAGCAAAAAGTGCAAAGATCCCAAACCTCGGGTCAAGAAGCTCAAGTACCACCAGTACATTCCGCCGGATCAGAAGGGGGAGAAGAACGAGCCGCAGATGGACTCCAACTACGCCCGCCTGCTCCAGCAGCAGCAGCTGTTCCTGCAGCTGCAGATCCTGAGCCAGCAGCAGCAGCACTACAACTACCAGACCATCCTGCCTGCACCGCTCAAGTACGGGCTGCGCTGGGGCCCTGCCTCCTTCCTGACGGGGTGGGCGGGTGGGAGGCCGTCAGGCTCCATGAGGAGGCCGTGGCTGGTGGGGTGTGTTTGCAGGCAGCATTGTCTTCAGGCTTATCCAGAGTCAGCACAGTGAGCGCACACACATCCCAGCCCAGTTTCCATAGGTTCTGAGCATTTCAAGGAAGAGAGACCTTTTCATCATGATGAAAAGATTTGTCTGCTATGCAGTGTCCTCAGAAAGGTGCTGGGTGCTGGCAGAAAAACATAGAAGTATTCAAAGATGTACCTTGTTAAAAAGAAAAGGCACCTGGGCATGAAATTGGACAGTTTGAGGAAGGCATTGTGGAAAAGGCAGTATTCAAAGGCGCCCTAGTGGGGCATCCCTCACAATGGAAGCTCTGCCTCACATTTCATTTGCTCCTTGCGTTAGACACCAATTAGCACTGCGCTTAACACTTGACATCATCATCCTTCCAGTGATTCCAGAAGGAACTGAAGTTACTGGCCTCGTCATATAGATGAAGAAAGAGCTCTGTGCCACATTAACACACTGAACTGCTAACCAAAAGGTCAGCAGTTCAAGCCCACTAGCCACTCCGAGAGAGAAAGATGAGACAGTCAGCTTTCCAAAGATGGTTGTTACTGTTAAGTGCTATCAAGTATAGACTGCCACTCATTCTGTTGGTGTTGTTGTGCGCTGTTGAGTCGTCTGCGACCCTATGTACAGCAGCTCTGAACCCTGCCCTGTCCTGAGCCATTCTCACTAATTCCAACACACAAAACCCCATGGCCCCAGTCACTGTATCAATCCATCTCATCCGGGGTCTTCCTCTCCCGTATTGTCCCTCCACTCTTCCGAGCATGTTGTCCTTCTCCAAGGACTGGTCTCTCCTGGCCACGTGCCCAGAGTAAGTGAGATGGAGTTTCAAAATCCTAGCCTCCAAGGAGAAACTTGGTTTCACCCTCCAAGTCAGACCACTCATAGCAACCTCATAAATAACTGATCTGAGCCTTGCCCTGTGCTGCACCATCCTAAGGGTCTCCGGCATGCTTACGCACATTGTTACAGTCATGTGTCAGTCCATCTCATTGAGAGGCTTCCTCTCTTTTGCTGGCCCTCTGCCTTTTCCAAGTATAATGTCTTTTCAAGGACTGGCTTCCGACAACGTGCTCAGAGTATGTGGAACAAAGTTTTACCCTCCTGCCTCTAGGGAGCCCTCTGGCTGCAACCTTGAAAACCTTGTGAGGCAGTTCTGTTCCGCATTATGCTGTCAGATGAGTCAGAATTACCGACAGTGAAGGGTTTCCTTTTGGTTTTTTTATAGAGGAGGAAACTGTTGAACTGAATGTCTCATGAAAGGATTTTTTTTAATCTATTGAGAAGCGTTTTCTGGGATGAAAGAATTTGTTTGGCTGATGGGAAGAACACAGCTGGGATGTGTGGTTGCTGAACTTTTGTATCCTCTCACTCATCTGTTCGTGCATTGAGTCTTTAGCTTTCCTCACTTCCTCAAGAATTCCCACAACTAAAATAACCCAGCCATCTGCCCAAAGAAAACATCATACGTAAAGATCTGGGAATCAACAGGGGGAAAGAACATTTATTCTTGTGTGCTATTTTACCACGAAAATGGAATATAAATTCTATTTAATCTCCATGTACTAAAAATGGAGACATCCTCTATGAGGATTGTTTATTTTGCCAAATTCCTTCACAAGAACCTATAGAGCTCATACAGTATTGGTATTCTACCTGCCTGTATAATGTGCTCCCCTGGGACCCTGGTGGCATAGTGGTTAAGTGACTGCTAACTGAAAGGTCAGTGGTTCCAGCCTGCCAGACTCTCCACGAGAAAAAGAAAGGCAGTCTGCTTCCATAAATATTTCCGCCTCAGAAGCTGCTCCACAGAGCAGTTCCACTCTGTCCTGCAGAATTGCTATGGGTTGGAATAGACTCAGTAACTGGCAGTTGACTTGGATTTGGGGAGAGCAACAACCTGCAGAGCTAAGAGTTTAGTCGTTGCCTGCCACACAGGCCTGGAAGGTCCCAGAAGGTCTTGTTCTCTCTCTGAACCCCAAGTTCTTCATCTCTGCAGTGACTACGTTTACTAGTTGTTGATTGCCATTGAATCAAGCATAACTCATAACAACAGTATGAACAAAAGACCTTAAACCTTTCTATAACTTTTTTTGTTTCTCAAAGTTCATAGTTTCCAGAGGCAGATATGTTCACTAGATTGTCCCTTTTTTATTTCTACTGATCCAGGGAGAACTAGATTAACTTATTTTTATTATTTTGAGGACTAAATAAAACGCAGAATTTTTAATCTTGAAACAAATACAGCATTGTAAAATTTCTACGAAAAAGGCAGCATAATTAGATGATTCAGTTAAACCATGAATTCTCAGAGAGGTAGTCTTGCCCCCAAGAGGACAAAAGTTGATTCTGGAAGAAATGATGAATCTTTCTCATTGGTACAGAGCACAGGTACATACACGGGAAGTGCCTAAACATATACAGTAAATCTTTGGAATTCAAATGACATGAGGAAAGTGATTATGAAAAAAATATTGAGAAAGACTCTTTGGGAGGACAACAATGAGCATAACGTTGAGTAACTGACTTAAATAGTATGTTTTTATAATTCTGACATGACATTTGAAAGTGGAATATTTAAGGGAATGAGATGTCATTTCATCCAAATGTCATTTCCAGTACTGAACAACTTAATGTCAGTGCAATTTTAGGTGGAGTTTTGAAGACCCCAAAACAAATGTCAAGTGTTAGCTGTTAATAAGGCCAGAAATTACTCCAGCCTCAGGCTTCCTGGCACTCCATTGAGGAAGCGTGTCGCACCATGGCTCTTACCTCGTAAGCACTGACCTTTCAGATCCCTATTTCAGAGTGTGGAATTCCCAGTCTCTGATTTTAGCACCAAGGCTTTATAATGACATTAAAGCTGAAACCACAGTGGAGCTGGGTGTGGGGGATCCACCATCATATGTGAACCTTTGGTGAATAGGCAGCACCTACCCATAAAACGAAATGCTGTGGTTCCCACCCAAGAGTTGGATGTCAGAAGCGGTTAGGGAGAGACTTGGCTTGAGCATGTAAAGGAGTTTAAAAGAGTTGATACCATGCACCTGATGTTAGGACTTGACAACTGATTCACCATCTTCTTTTTTAATTGAAGCGTAACTTAGAAATGTACATAAAATATAAGTGAAAACAGATCCCAGTGTGAGCATACCCCTGCAACCACCGCCTAAATCAAGAAATAACATTAGCAGTGCCCCAAAAGTTCCCCACATCCCCTCTCAGTGACTCTCCTGACTGCCATATTCAGCTTAGTTTTGCCTGTTTGTCAAATTCATGTAAATATCGTTTTACAGAAGCACTCCATGCACCTTCTTTTGGTGAACATGGCTTGTGAGAGGCATCTTTATGGTTGCAAATAGCTGTTCATTTTATATGGCTACTTAGTATTCCACTGTATGAATATTTATAATCCATCCATCATAATCCAGATGGAAGGCAGAATTACTTTCAGTTGGAGCAATTATGAGTAATGCTTTATCATAGATTGTGCTTTTTAGGGCACAAGTGTTTGTCTTTTCCTTGGGTGTTTTCAGAATGGAATAGCTGAGTCATAGGAGTCATCTGAAAACTCTGAAGCCATTTTTCAAAATGATTGTATCAGGCTACACCTCGACCAGCCATATTTGAGAGTTCTCTGAGTTCTTGCTGTTTTCACTCTTTTTTGGTACCATAACCCGGGATCAGACACTATTATCTTACTTGTAATTGTCTGCTGAGTATACAGTGTATTTCATTGTAATGTTAATTCACATTTTTCTCATACCTCTTGAAGTTGGGTACCTGTCTTAAAAATTTTGACCATTTTGATACACTTTATTTTGCTGTGCCTGTCCAAGATTCATCTCCCTCATGTGTTTCTTTTCTCTTTTTTACCCTCTTTGCAGGTTTTCTTTTTCTCTGCAAGCCCTCTTTGTCCATTCTAGCCATAAGACATTTTTCAGAAGGACTCTGACTTTCTGAAAGGTGTCCCTTGTAGTTAGTACTTTTCTTAGTTGGTGCTGTTCTGCTTACGAAATATTTACCTTTCAAAGTCCGGGAAGGTACTATCCTTTGTTGTTTGGGGAGTTTTTCCCCTAATAGTTGGACTGCTTTATAATTTGCAGTCAAATGTTTGAGGAATGATAGAAAGTAGGGATCAGTCAAGAACTGTCCCCCTACCCAGGAATACCCTATTGGCCCAGCATGATTTATTGGTTCTACCACCCTTTCCCATTTGTATTGCATAACAGTGTCTTCGTGGTAGCTTAAATAGCCACATAAGTGGGAATCTGCTTTTTTTTTTAATTCTCCCTTCTTTTCCATTTGTCAGTTTCTCCGTTTTGAATCAGCACCACTCTGTGGTATGGTACAAGTGTTACGATGGCTGTAGCTTCATGATAAAAGCTGATAACGTGGTAGTGGAACGCTTTCCGTTTGGGTTTTCTTCTTCAAGAATGCCGTGACCACTGTAACCGTTTGCATTTCCTTACAAAGCTTTGAATCACCATCTCAATTTTTGCTGGGATCTAATTTAACTGACATCTTTACCATACTGAGTCTTCCTGTCCATGACCGTGGCATTTTTCTCTTTCTAAATTAATGGTCAAATGAAAAAGCAGTGGTGGCAAATCCCGATCTTACTGTTTTATTGTAACCTAATTTTCTTCTTTTAAAGGCCACTCAGTGACAAAAACAACAACAGTGGGAATTCTGTTTTGAACAATACCACGCCCAGCGCACCAAGGCCGAACCCATCTGTTCCTGTGAGAAAGCCAGGGCCACTGCCATCCAGCTTGGATGACTTAAAGGTGAGACTTCCGTATAGATCTTGTCCACCAATAAGTGCCCCCAAATGTAAATGCTTTGTCTCAGTGTAAGTCATTCTTAATAGATATTCATCTTTACCAGAACATACGATCATTTGGCTTTAAATTTACTTTAAAGCCATCACTGCTGGCCAAGTACTATGTGCGAGGCACCACCATGCCAGCTCCATTTGACCCCACTGGCTCTGTTTTTCTTTTATTCCCTTCTCTGCAAGAAAGTCTAGCGGACAAGAAAATGTGCTCCAGGGTCTCCTTCCTGGTTTTTAATCCTAGCTTACCCGTCTGCTCGCTGTAGTCTTAAATAAGTGATGGGTCTGTCTGCCTCAGTTTGTCTGTAAAATGGGGATGAAGATGATGATAAAAGCTGCCTCGTGTGGTCATTGGGAATATTAATTGAGAAATCGTGTAACTGTTCAATCAGCGTAACCATTAGCATGACCACTATCCCTAGTATTAACTTTTTTTCCCTTTTCTTTCTTTGAGATAAAAAAGGAGTTACCCCCTTTAAATCAGCTACTTTATCACTGACCTTTTAAGTTCTTCAAGTCTGAAGTTGTGTTTATATGTTAAAGGAAAATAAACAGTGACCCCACTTTGATGTAGGCGACAGATCATCGTTATCTGAGCGGCATGGGTTCTTTTCCAGTCCCAGCATTCCCTGTAGACGTGTCAGTGAACTGGAGCACTCCCAGCAGAGACGTGATTTGTCTGTGATTCTGTTACAGGTGTCGGAGCTGAAGACAGAACTGAAGCTCAGGGGGCTGCCGGTGTCAGGAACCAAACCTGACCTCATCGAGCGCCTGAAACCCTACCAGGAGGTGAACAGCAGTGGTGTGGCCACAGGCAGCATCGTGGCAGTGACCACCCCTGCCCTGGTCACCAGCAACCCGGAAGTGACCGTGGCTTTGCCCGTCACAACACTACACAACTCTGTGACAAGCTCTGGCTCCACATTCAAGGCAGAGCTGTCCCCTAGCACAGCCCACGCAGAGACCGCCCACTCCCCTCTACCCATCTCACCAGCACCCTCTGAGCCATCCAGCCTCAGCACCGATGACACCAGCATGGCCGACACCTTCACCGAGATTATGACCATGATGTCCCCCTCCCAGTTCCTGTGCTCATCCCCCCTGCGCGTGACCAGCACGGAAGACAGCCTGAGTCCCACAGGCAGTACCCTGTCCAGTCTGGAGCTGGACGCCGCTGAGAAGGACCGCAAGCTCCAGGAGAAGGAGAAGCAGATCGAGGAGCTGAAGAGGAAACTGGAACAAGAGCAGAAGCTGGTGGAGGTGCTCAAGATGCAGCTCGAGGTGGAGAAGCGAGGGCAGCAGCAGCGGCCCCCAGAGCCCCAGCCCGGCCTCCCAGCTGGCTCGGTCACCAAACTGGATCCTGCTTCTGCCATCAAGGAGGAGTCCTCACCCCCCGACTGCTCCAGCTCCATCCCCATCCCAGTCGCCGGCCACTCAGTGAGGCAGCCTGTCCCAACCAGCGGCCAGACCCTCGTTGCCAAAAAGGCTGTGGTTATCAAGCAGGAGGTCCCCGGAGCCACAGCGGAGCAGCCCAGCCTCGTCCCTCAGTTTTATGTGAGTTCCCAGGGACAGCCTGCGCCCACTGTGGTGGCTCAGCCCCAGGCCCTGCTGACCACTCCGACAGCCCAGCTGCTGCTCCCAGTGTCCATCCAGGGCTCCAGTGTCACCTCCGTGCAGCTCCCTGTCGGCAGCCTCAGACTCCAGGTAGGCAGTGCGCCTCTTAGCGGAAATGCTAGCGCAGGCACCACACCTAAGCGTTCTCACACCTGCATCCACAGCAGTTTCCACAGCTGGAGAGAAAACACGCGGGGAGAAGAGAGGGAGGGTTCCTCTAATTGGGAATGGCCAACATTATTATAATTTCTACACAGTTAAAGACAGAGCCTCAGAATCCTTGCCTCCAAGGAGCTGCTTGGGAGGGTGGAGGGACAGCGCAGGAGGGGAAGGCCCTCTATGAGGTGGATTGAGTCAGTGACTGGGATAATCGGGATGGGTGTGTCAGAGACAATGCGATTGGCACAGGATAGAGCAGAGTTTAGGGCTGTTGTACATAGGGTCGCTATGAGTCGTAAGTGACTCAATGACACATAACAACAATAACAACAACACAGTAAAAACAAATGTGGGGTTTCTATTACCATTTGCTTTCCAGTGAGCACAAACTTTGACCATACTTTACACCACCAGTGCCATCCTCACCATAATAGCAGCTGTACCTGCTTTGTATGTGTAAGACACGGCAGCTGTACTTTAAAGGCTGACTTCATCTGATCTCCCGTCAGAAGATCCATGGAGTAGACCCATAGATCAGGAAACTGAGGCCTGGAAAGGTTTTGTTATTTGCCCCATGATGCAGGTAGCATGTAACAGAACTGTCATTTAAACACAGGACTCCAGACACCAGAGCTTTGACTCAGAAGCCCCTTCTTCCATCGGACCCCACATTTGTTTGTGGAAGGCACCAGTACTGCCGAATGATAAGGGATATCTAAGGAAGGGTGACTGGAAATGTCAGGCTGAGGAGTTGTCGAGGGAGATGACAGAACTCTGGAGCGTAAAATGCCCTTTTTATGCTGACACAGCCTGCTATTTTCCCTCGCTGGCTTTCATGTAATCTGGTTTGGGTACATTTGAGCCAATTGTAGACCTCAAGTAAGCAAGGTACCACTTGGACCAGGATGCCTCACCCTTGACTCCTCGGATGCCCTCAGCAGCAGAGAGGGCTGTTGTACCCGTGGTGACACACAGACATCCTGCTTCTCTTATTTTAGACTTTAGTTTGTGAATTTTTAAAAGTTCTTCCAAAATCTTTCAGTGTGTATATATGTTGCCCTGTACCATCATGTCAGAACTGACTCATAGCTGAACCTCAAGTCGGTTTCAGAAGCAATAAATCACACAGGAGGAGACTGTCCATCCTCCTCTTGCAAAGTAGCTGGTAGATTCCAGCTGCAAGCATTTGGGTTGGCAGTGCAACTCTACCACTGGCCCACCAGAGTGCCCTAAATGGGTGTATAGATAGAGAAATAATTTAGATAAAGGGGGAGAGATATATATGTAATCTCCCTCTCCAGCGAAAGTTCTCCTAAGAGTTTATGTTCCAAGAACAAGAAGCTTGTTTTATTCTTGGGCTGTGTGTCCCCAGCACATAGGGAGCTTTTTCCACAGAATGTGCAGATAACAACTGAGAGAGGACTTTGGGCAATTGGGCCAATGAAAAGTATTACAGGAGCGATGATTTAGAAAATTCCTCCATAACTTGGGAGAGACTGGAGAGCATTATCCTAAGTGAACAAACTCAGTCTCATAAGGACAAATACTGCATAAGACAATTATTGTAAAAATAGAAGGATAACTAGTAAAATGTGTATGAAGATCCAAAAGGGGGGGGGGTAGGAGGATGAGGATGGGCAAGGGGAAACCATAGCATCACACAGTTTGGTGGGTGGAGGGAGGGGGTGGGTAAAGGAAATGGGAAAGATCCGGTGGGGACCAGGAGAGACAGAGTAACGGTGGACATAGTTCCATGGCGATTAATTTTATAAAACATAATGAGCGCAACACAGGGAATGAAAGATAGTGTGAAACACAATGTATATGAAGTTGGTAAGCAACCCAATAAAAATTTTTTTTAAATTTCAGAAAATGTATTATAGGATTGGACTAAAGGTATAGAGCTTATATCCCATTGCCACTGAGTCAATTCCAACTCAGAGCAACCCTCCAGCCTGAGTCGGGCTGCCCCCAGAGGTTTCCGAGGTGGAAATCCCTGTGGCAGCAGAGGGGCTCAGCTTTCTCCTGGGATTTGGAAAAAGCAGCCAAGCACTTAATCACTGCACCACCCAGGGCCCTTGGGCCTCTTATATAGGACCTTTTTATTTCCACTTTCTGGTTTGCAAATGGAAGTGTTAGGGACCTACACGACAAGAGCAGCAGGTGAGGTACCTGGTGTGGGGTCTCATTCTCTGTTGTGTACGTGGTAACACTCAAATTCATGGGCATCCAACATAGTTCGTCTAGAGTATCAGTCAGCAGTCTGTTCCTGAGCCTTCTCAGAACACACATGAATTTCTCTAAAGCTTCAGAATTTAAGTCTTCACTGCAGTCTCAAAATGGCCTGTATGCCATCTGTAACCATTTGTCTTCTTTCGGTTATAATCCCCAAGCGACCAGTTACTCTACATTGAAGCTCTCGGTGGTCACTTTGATTCTGACAATTAAATTGCCGCTTTTCCTTCTCCTCCAGACTCCACCACAAGCTGGAATCCAGACTCAGCCTCAGATAGCCACTGCCTCCCAGATCCCTACCGCCACCTTGTCCTCAGGCCCGGCCCAGCCAGCACCTCAGCAACAGGACGCTTTCCCGCGACGCACGCTCGGTCAGCCTCAGCCAGTCAGGAAGGTCTGTGCACCGTCCCTGTCTGGCCCCACACACTGCGACACAACATGTGCCCGGGGTTGCCTGTTTCCACACTCGACCCTGTGGGATGAGCCTTGGTTCTGGTGCCCTGAGGTGGCTGTGCAGTCGATGTCCTGTGATTTGATAAAAACACTTGTCCTAACAGTTCACACTTTATCCAAAGAGGTATTTCAGAAATATTTTTTAATCCTCACATAATAGAATTCACTGAGTTTTCTAAAAAAAAATCTTTTTAAATTAATAATCATTTGGTAGGGGAAAATTGTTTACTGCTCCGTAAGAAAAGTTATTTGAGGAGGAACAAGCTAAAGACAAAAGTTTTTATCTTTGATAAGAACTTTATGTAATGTTACTGTTGTTATGAATCATTGAGTCAGAACTAACTCACAGCCTACCGTTTAGAGGGTTTACAGAGGCAGTAAATCGCAGGGGAGGAGATTGCCCATCCTTCTGCAGAGCATGTGGTGGATTCGAACCATGGCGCCTTTGGAATTGCACGAGAGCTCCCTTTTATATAATACACATACTACAGAATAAGTATTATCAGAAGTATACACATATGTAAGAATTTGCCATCTTGGGAGTTAAGAGCCAAAAGATCTGGGTCTAATTATACTGTCTTGACCCACTACTTTCTCCATTCTTGACCTTCAGAAAAATTCATTCATTTTCTCAGAGGGTCACTTTCGTCATCTATAAAGTCAAGGTGTCGCTCAGCATTTTGCTCTGTTGAGACCAGTTGGTTGTTCTGGAGTTAGTTTCAGTTCATGGTTCTCATGTGGATCCAGGTAGACCTGTGCTCCCTGGGTCTTCAGCGGCTCACCTTCCAGAGGTAGATCACAAGGCCTCTCTTCCGAGGCACTTCTCAGTGGGCTGTAGACTTTAAAGCAGCCTTGCACACCTTTCTCTCGGGGATCGGTCGGTGGGCTCAGACTGCCGAGTGTATTACCCGAGTGCCTTAATTGTACTATCCAGGGCTCCCTCCTCTACAGTTTCCTGTTACACACACCCAAACAGGACCAGAATGCCAGTAGATGGAGCTCTGGGCACATCTACTTGCCAGAAAAATAGGAAGGCCTCAAAACTAAGACTTGCCATTTTAAACCTCGGGAGCTCTGGTGACGTAGTCCACGGGGAGTTGCGCTGCTAATCCAGAGACCTTCCTGGTAGTTCGAATCCACCAGCGTCTCCACAGGAAAAAGATGGGCAGTCTCTTCCCTTGTGAATTACAGCCCTGAAAACCCCCTGAAGGGTCAGCTGTGAGTTAGCTCTGACTCAGCCAAAATAACTGACCGAATTTATTGTGTAAACTTTCATCAGAAACCTAGTAAAATATTTTAGTTAGCAATAAAAAGTTACTGATAGCAGTAGACAAAAGCAGTACAGTGAAGAATCTAAGAAACTCGGCTATCATTAAGGGAAAACAGAAACTAAGCAAAAGCTGCCCTCTCTCGCTCAAAGATGAGCACAGCAAGACCGCTTATGCTCAGAAGCGAGGCAGCAGCCCCCGCCGGTTCTGGAGACCGTGTTACAGAGGCAGCAGCCCACCCACCCAGCCTTCCCCATCTGTGGACCATATTTCAGGGGCACAGCCCCCCTGCCATTATGTAGACGGTGTTACATGCCTTCAGATGCTTCCATCGTGCAATGTCAGAGCTGAGGAATTGAAACTAAAACCATTCATCATCTGGCCCTTAACAGAAGAAGTTTGCTGCCCCTGACTTCAGTACCTGGTTCTCTCCATCAGGAGAACAAATTGATGGGGAAATACCTGTTCGTTTCAGGTTTTCACAAACTCAGCAGCCCCTCCAGTTGTCCCGTACCAGAGACAGCCTGCACCCACGGTCCAGCAGCCATTCGTCACCAAGACCCCTGGCAGCCTCGTCCAGTCCAGAGCTACCCCGCTCCCCTCCGTGCAGAACGGGCCCAGCACCCCCAGCAAGGTAATCCAGGCGCCCACCAGGCAGCTCGCTCCAGGGCCTGGTCCCATTGCGAGGGAGCTGCGGTGATAATTATCAAATGAGCTGTGAGTGCCTATAACAGAGGACAGTCCTTCCGTGTGGATGGCCAGTGTGGTCAGCCTCACGGCTGTTCAAAGACTGTCACTGTGCAGGATTTGGCTTCACTGGAGCAGGGTCTAGTCAGGGCCACGGGGAGGCTTCTCACCACGAGCTGACACACACCCTGTCTTTGTCTGACAGCCTCATTCGCCCCCGCCACCACCACCAGCTCAACAGTTTGTGGTCCAGCACTCTCTGTTCAGCAGCCCGGTCACCAAGACGAAAGACCCTCCCCGCTACGAGGAGGCCGTCAGACAAACCCGCAGCGCACAGTCCGCCCTCCCAGAGGTGAGCAAAGACCTTGCCATGATGTCAGGGCGGGGGTGGAGCACCTCACCCCTCCCCTGCCAAGCTGGGGACACTGGTCTCATGTCACTGAGGCTCTGTCCTCTCCAGAGCTGAGGGAGCTCAGTGGTCACAGCTTGTCAATGATGTGCGTCCATCACAGTCCATCCATCTCAGATGAAGGCTTCTGTGTCATGTGCCAGCCTCCAGTCTTGACTGGCCCTTCAGTAAATCCCTTGTCATAGATCTACTTACTCCCATAGATATTTATACTTTATAACTGGGGGCCTGGGTTACATCTTAAAGTGCTAATTTAAACATCAGAGCGTCATCCACTGTGGAGAATCCTAAATGGCTCTCAGTAGCTGTATAATCTGCCATCATTATACACTCTGGATTTCAGGCTTTGTCTTAACGTTTTCCTTCAAGGCAGGATGATCAGACCTGTTTGGGGTTAGCGTGACACATACTTTATACAGATCTCTTCTTTTGTAAAACCATCATGGATGAGGCTGGTACGAAAGTGCCACTCTTCCCCTCGCAGGCGTCCTTAGACTTCCCACCATCTGAACACACTGTGTCCTCATTCATCTGCCTCGAGTCCCCGACCCCGTCTGTTGCCCGTGCAAGTGGCTCGCCTGTATTAAACAATCACACCAGTAACCACCTGCAGTCCCTGTGGTTCAGGCAAGGCGCTGACCTTCTCCTCTGAGTCGTCTTTGTTAGATTGACAAGAAATGTTCACATTTCTCTTTTTGTCATGATTTGAGTGAAAGTTTACAAAGCTGATAGTTTTCCATTCAAGTAATCCTGCGCATTTTGTAGAGCTTTCATTACACTGCCAGTGTAACCTTGCTCTTCCTGCTAGTTTCCTGGGATTCACTTTGTTAATCCTCCCCTCACCCTTCCTGCCTTCCGAACGGAGCTTTATCCTTGGACAGGTGCAGCCCTTTTGACTGTGTGGTTGATTATCCGAAAGAGGAGTCATCGCACTGGTGTTGCTCAACTGTCAGGCCTGTCCACTGCCCAGCTGAAAGTGGAGTCCTAGCAGCAAGTCTCGTTCCAGGCCGAAAGGCTGACCAGGGTCATTGTCTCGGAAGTTCCACCAGTCTCTAATGGGCCAGCAAGCCTGGCCATTTTTCTGTTTCGGGTTGTGTTCCCCAGTCCCCCGACCCCTACTCTACCCAGGACCTTCTACTGTGCGATCTCTTTTAGAATGGTCAGCAGGGGCAGCCACACACCATCTAGTTCTGGTCTCAGGGTCATGAGAGTTGAAGTCCACATGGCCTGTTAATAAATTGGATCAGTTCTTTCTAGGGCGCTCTGGTGGCCTGGTAGATAAGGAGCTGCACCAGCAACCCAAAGGCAGGTGGTTTGATTCTGCCAGCAGCTCAGAATGAGATGGACATTTTCCTCTCGTGCAATTTAGTTGCTGAAAACCCACTGGAGGTTCAGCTGTGAGACAGTTCCGAATCCATGGCAGTGAGTTGGGTCGTTGCTTTTCTTTTGTTCTAGACAGGGAGAAACTAATAGGTACATCTTAGAGGCTTCTTGCAAGACCCAATTCACTGCTCACTAAAGTAGAATGTATAATACTGTCAGTGGACTGTTAGGCCAACTGACCTCGATGATCCCTGAGATTATGATTCCAAGACCCTAGGACTAAGGACTCATTCCTTTGGGGAATGATTAAAAAGTTTATGTTTAAGAGCTTTACCCCTGTTGGTTCTACTGTTCACATGGATGTGTTTACAGCATGTCCTAATAGGAATGCAGAAATGTCATCAGCCAGACTGTGATGGTCGTGGATAGAGTCCTGTTTACCTGTCGATACCTGTTCACCTGGCCTGTCTGCCTGGATATCCTCTTGTAAACATTACAGGATTGTGTATATTACAGTGTCATCCTTTGTTGACAGATTTCTAGTGTTCCCCTCCATGGTGGCCTGTTCTTCAGTGGTTGTGCTGCTAAATGTAACAAGATGATACTCCCTTATTACATACTCCCTCTGTTTTCACCTATTTTATATATGTCTTATATCTAGTTACTTATCTTTATCCCCGTCTCCCTCCTTTCCCAACCCTGGTAATTATCCAAGAATGCTGCTTTCATTATGATTAACTTCTTTCACTTAGCATAATATCCTCATGCTACACAGTGTTACACAAATTCATCGTCATTCCTTAGTGTTGTATAATACTCCATGGTCTGTATGTGTACCCTCCTTTATCTAGTCATCCACTGATGGACATTTTTATTGTTTTCATTTCTTTGCTATTGTAATAACGATACAGTGCCATGGGTGTGCATGTATCTGTTTATGTTCTTTAGAATATGTACCTAGTACTGAGATCAGAGAGACTGTGGGTCATACTCACATCAACAGCATGTAACAACAGTGAGGTCAGAGAGTTGTGCCCTGATCTGTAGGGATGGGGGTGTGTGTGTGAGTGTGTGATTAAAATGTATTCTATGTCTGATAAAAATCAAGCTCAAAAATAGACTGGTTTTATACACACAAATGTTTACCTAAATGCAAGTGAATAAATAACAGTTTTAAAATAAAATAGTGGACGGCTCTCAAAAATAAAATCAATGATGGGAAGTAGGAGAAATAGAGACATCAGCCGAGCCAGGACTGGCTCCCTTTTTGCCCTGTGCACTAACCAGCCACGCCACCCTGGGTAAATTGTTTAACCTCACTTAATGGGGGTGACCACAGTTATCAAAATGTTAGCGCTGTGTCCGCTGTAAGGTCCCTTTGCGATCTCACCTGTGTTTCCAGGATTGCACAGAAGAAAACTGATTTCTGTTCTCTGGTTGCAGGTCTCCAATGCACATAGTCAGCAGATGGATGACCTCTTTGACATCCTCATTAAGAGTGGAGGTAGGTCAGAGCTCACGTCAGACCCGCAGGGAGTGATCTCTTACACCAGTACGTGGAAGCTCACCTCTCGACATCGTAGTGGATAAAGCAAATTATTGTAAGAGGAAGAAAAGCTCAGAGTAGTACTGTAAAGCTGGAACCACGTTCCTTACTAACAGAGAAAAGCCATGTCAAAATGGAAAATTGCAGTCAGGTTTCAATTCTACATTGAAAATCTTCAAAACTTTTTCCATGTTTCATTGTAATGGATAAAAGCATTCCTATGTACGAGTTTAATTTTGTAACAAGCAACTTACTTAGCTGCATTCTGTTGTTGTTGTTATGAGCGGTCGAGTCATTTGCGACTCATAACGACCTTATATACAACAGCCCTAAACCGTGCTCTGTCCTGTGCCAATCACACTGTCTCCGACACACCCATCCCGATTACCCCAGTCACTGAATCAGTCCACCTCATAGAGGGCCTTCCCCTCCTGCACTGTCCTCCACCTTCCAAGGACCGGTCCCTCCTTACAACATGACCAAAGAATGTCAGACAAAGCCTCAGAATCCTTACCTCTAAGGAGCAGCCTGGTTTAACCCTCTCCAGGATGAATGTGTTTGTTTTCTTGGCAGTCCATGGTATACTCAGTAGAGTGCTGCACTGCAGTGTTATTAAAATTAAAAGTTAAAGCTAAAATACTTTCTACATACAACTTAAAATCTTGGGCTTTATATTTTAAAAGGATCCCAGAGAAGGGATGGGGGAGGGAAAGGGTGTTAACCCACAAAGAATCAAGGAGCTCTCATTCATTTTACATATCTATGAAAATTAGTATAATGTATTTAAAAAATAATTCAAATGCTGTTTTTGAAATATTTTTAGATGTTCTTAAATTACCTTGCCAGAATGAGTTTTATTTGCAGTTTTAAATAGTGGCCAAGTGTGTCTATTCCTAGATATTGAGGCTGATGTTCTGGTTGTATGGGTTATCATAGAATGGGTAATTATTGATAATTTACCAATGTGCAAATAGCAGCTTCTTTCCTGAGAATGATATTGGCCTTGCAAAATAACTTGAAGTCATGGAAAGTAAATACTTTTCTTTTTACTTGGTTGATTTTAGTAGTATTTTAGTAGATAGTAAATATCTACTTACTGAGTGCTTCCTATTTTTTGCACAGAGATTTCTCTCCCCATAAAAGAAGAACCTTCTCCCATTTCCAAAATGAGACCGGTGACTGCCAGCATCACCACCATGCCCGTCAACACAGTGGTGTCCCGGCCACCCCCCCAAGTCCAGATGGCGCCGCCTGTGTCCCTCGAACCTATGAGCAGTCTGTCCACCAGCTTAGAGAACCAGCTCGAAGCCTTCTTGGATGGCACTCTCCCTGCAGCCAGTGAGATGGCCCCCCTTCCGAGCAGCACTGAGGACCGAGAGCCTTTCTCTCTGATCGAGGACCTCCACAGCGACTTGCTGACTCACTCCGGCATGCTGGACCACTCCCACTCACCCATGGAAACGGCTGAGGCCCAGTTCGCTGCGAATACCCCCTGTCTGTCACTTGACCTCTCTGACACAAACTTGGACAACATGGAGTGGCTAGACATCACCATGCCGACATCGTCGGGACTCACCCCCCTCAGCGCCACCACTCCTAGTATGTTCTCCGCTGACTTCCTCGACCCACAGGACCTCCCGTTGCCCTGGGACTAAAGTCACAGAGGTCCGATCTCAGAGTTCATGAGCTTTAAAAACATGACAATGATTATGAAAGGTCAGTCTTTAGACATAGATCCATAGTTGCACCGTTGCAATCAAAATGTGTTGTCACAGAAAGAGTGGCAGGAAGGAAACCAGTCCCAACACACACTGCCCTGCACTTGGCAGTGAACTTGTATGATTTAACCTAGCAGAGAGCCTTCTGCAAGCACATTCATTCTGGAAGACAAACGAGTAACGCACACAGGGAGAGGACATTGGGAATCTCTGGCAATCAACTACATTTGAACCTCTGTGGTCACTTTCCGCAGGCAGACAGCTCCACTCGGAGCGGGGGCAGTGAAGTCACTACACTTGGTATTTCCCGCAGGTGACCTGAGCTGAGCCCGAGGCCCAGCAGGGACAGTGGCAGTGGGCAGTGCTGGCCACTTCAGTGACACGACGCGTCAGCTGATGCCCTTGGGTTCCACTCAGAAACCTGTGTCATTTTGTGTGTGCTGTATAGTTTATTTTGTGATTTTTTTTTTAATCCTAAAGTTTAGATTCCTGAATTTAAATTCAAGGAGAAGCTCTTTCACTATAGTAAAAGGTGTCTACAGAATACTGACATAAGCAATCCACTGTAAAAAAAAAAATAAATGACAGACAATAGCCAGGTTAATGCTAACACTGAGAATCCTATGGCCAATCCTCTGGGTTGACCAGATTGGTTTTAATGTGTATATTAGACATTTGTATGCACTCTCTGGCTTTGTGATTTGTACAGCCTACATCGGGGTAAGAAAAGGGGCATCGTTAATCTTGTTTCTTGTAACAACTCGACTATTTCTAGAGTACTTGAGCCACATATATTTCTGTGTTTAAAAACTTGCTTGCTGACTTTCAGGTAACCAGACCCATCTCAGAGAACCAAGATAAAGGCTTTAGCATGAGCTCTCTGTCTGAGCTGGTGAGTCGGAAGCAAGGGGTCCGTCGCCCGGGACATTCCTGCGTCAGAGCATGCTGAAAGGTCAGCTGCCCGCCGCAGGCCTGGCTGCCCCTCTTCTCTGGCTCACCCCTGCTTATTGTTGTGCAGGCTTGTACTGGGTGCCACTCCCAAGCTCTCACTGTCTCTTCAAGCCTGAAAGCATAAAACTGGAGGTTTTATTAGTTAGTTTTTAGAGAGAGAAAAAAAACCCAGTTATTACATATTTGCTTGTAGTTTCTTAAAGATTTTCTAAAATGCCAACTATTGTGGGATTTCCAAATTTTAAAAGCAAAAAGGCATCTAACACAATGTAAATCACAGAAAACAAGGGAAAACCTGAATTCTCCTGAGAGTCTGGGGTTTTTTATTAAGTACTCCTGTGCCGCCCGCCACCTCGTGCGCCCTGGGCAGAGGGCACCTTCCTGAGTGAATGCCCCTTTAGCGGCATGCAGGAAAGTGTCCTTCCCGTCATCCAAGGAGACATTTTTTTACTCCTTTTTGCAGCAGTTGTGTTTTGCCTCAGAGCTGAGCTTGTTTCTGTGTTGGTGTTTGGTTTGGGCTTCTGCATCGTACTCCGTGCCACCCCATCAAGTCTTCCAGAACTCGAGCTCTCCGCCAGCCTTCACCTGGAACTGGGAAGCTCTGCTGAGCTCTCAGCACTGCGGGCAGAGGCTGCCCTGTTAAGGAAGGGTTTAAGTCCTTGGAGACTGGCAATGCCATGCATTAGATCTCTTAACTCTGCTAAGTAGATGGTCATCTGACCAAGTCCAGCGAGAAAATGCGCCGTATTGGATGTGATGCCAGCCCTGTGTTTAGTTCCCAAGGGGGCCTGGCTGCCAGGACTGGGGTATTTACCTGGGAAGGTCCTTTCTCAGTAGGTCCTGGCCAGAGTCTCTCGGCCGAGGATTTTGGGCAGGGACCTCTTCAATCAGATCTACATGGCTTCTCCGTTAAGACCAGTTGCAGTGAGACCACAGCAGACAGTGCACAGCTCATGGATTTCCCAGTTGGATCACTTTGCGGTTTTGTAGTCCTGAGTTGTGTCTGCAGGTAGCTTTCCAGCCTCGTATCCTTTCATGGCTTTTAAAATAGGGTTAGAAACTAGTCCCGAGAAGGACGCTGTGCAGAAGGACGCTGTGCAGGGGAACGCTGGCTCAGCAGCCTGCCGTCTGGGCCGTGAGTGCCCACTTCACATGGTGTTCAGACCTCTGTGTGTGTTGTTTGTATTGTTTTAAAAAGCAAGGCGTCTCTAGCTCGTCTCTAAAGCCATCCCACTTGTACCATTCCTCTCGACCCTCGCCGCCTGGTTGGAGCAGGACCCAGCCCTGCGGCTTCCCACTGCCTCCAGGATGCTGACTGTGTGTCTCCTTGTGCAGAGTGCACGTGCACAAATGGTGCGGCACGCAGTGTGACCAAAGATGATGCTCTCCGATCAGGCCCCTTGACCTAACTCTGCATAGTGGCACATGTCGTGAGACAAGGTGTGTGTTTCCTGAAGACAGCTGCTGATTTGTTTTAAGACTGGCCTTGCGGGTCTCAGCAGCCCAGCTGAATTTGCAGTGTGCCTGTGTGTCATGTAGAAGCAGTGCTATTGTATGTCGCACAGAGAAAACTGTTGCCTAGAAAGCAGCTCCTAATAGTGTGTTCTCTCTCAGCCCAGTCTTAATATAACCCTTATGTTCTTGAAACACACGTGGATTGCCCATGGCTTCCTGCTGTATATAGCTGTCAGATCATGGTGTTGAGGGTGGAACGAGGGAAGAGTTACACCAAAGCTTCTAGAAGGCCTTTGGAAGTCTGGCGGAACGAGGTCACCTTGTGCATTTCGGCAAAGCACCTACTAGGAAAAGGCAGTTGTGGCTTCTGTTTGGGGGTGTTTCTGAAATGTGTGATCCCCAGTGCTATGGCCACGTGCTTGTGCATAGCCGTGTTCAGACTCATGGGTTTTCTTGCTCAGATACCCTCTGTTTTTGTTTTCTGTGGGTTTTTTGTAATCCTGAAGAGTATCTTTGAATTTCCCCTGCATGGCTGTGTGACCCCCGCACCCAGCACTTTCTGCTTTTCCCTCGGGCAGCTCAGCCTGGCCGGGGGTCGCACCTTGCAGTCAGCCACCCTGGCGCAAGGAAGGCGAGGGTCTCAACACCCCGGGGACTTCCTAAAGAGGTACACAGAGAATTGCTCATCTGGGGCCAACCACCCGGGCACCCAAGGTCAGTTTACCCAAAATCCCAAATGACCCTCCACTTCCTGCTGTCCACCCTGCAAACATAAAAGCAGAATGCGGCCACCTTGTCCTGCTGCCCTGGGGCCACACAGAAGGCCCCAGATCGCGGGCAAACTTTAACTGGAAGTTTTCTCCGTGAAAAACCAGAGCTTCAAGCGCACAGGTGTGTACTTAGAGAGCAGCCTGACCGCATTTCAGCTCATCATGGACGTTGATTGCAAACTGGAAAAGGACAGCTGAGGTGTGGACATCGTTCCCCCAACTCCCGCCTCGATGGTGCGCTCACCCTCAGGGGCTGCGTGGCGGAGGTGGGCCACGCTTGCTCTTTCTCCCCCGCCCCCCCCTTCACCTTTTCTTGCAGTATCTGAGGAAACACATCATTGCAAAAGGTTTCTACCTACAGGCTTTCCTTCGAGGCCTGTAACTCAAAAAGCTGCACATGTTTACAAAAGAGCTCTTATCAAAACTCCGCTCTGCGAATCTTTATTAAAGGAGAGAAGAAAAATAGTCACAATGTGTGACAACAGGTGGCAATCTCAGATCTCCACGGTGCTGTCTGACGTCAAACAAGTCGCGTTAGAGGAGATAGCAACACAGCCGTAGTGTTGACCAGGGTTCCATGCCAACTCCTAAAGCTCTGACGAAGTTTCTCGAATCCCCCACACGTAACCGTTACCTCTCAACATTATACTGTAAGAATGAATGTTTGCTGATGTGGCAAGAGGAGGAGGACGCATTTAGGAAAGGGTTTCGTAGCAACCAAAAGTATTTCACTTTAAGTAACCAGTAGTAATGCAGATCTGCTTTAAAGGAACCAAAGGCATTGCCAATATTTGCCAAAAGGAGGCACTTTTTTTATTTAAAAGTTGAGACTAGTGAGATCTCAAAAAAAAAAATAGCCCCAAAACAGGTATTAGCCACTTAAAGGTTATAATTTTCACAAAGATGTAGATAACTTCTCTTATGGTTTCATGTAAAATAGGATAGATTTGTTCTGTTGCTTTATGGATAATACGCATCTAGAAGTAATAGGAAGTTTGTGGTTTGTTTTTGTTGGGGTTTTCCCCTCCCCTTTCTATATAGAGATTAGTTTCCTCTTTTTCTTGCTTGCAGTAGACACACTAAATGTGATAGGTGTTTCTCTTCTTATTTTCATGGTCACATTATGTCTTAGCATCTCACTTTATGGAGAAAAAAAGGAGAAAGATACCAATCCCCAGAGCCCTGCTTGTTGAAACGCTAGATTAAGAAGAGAGAAAAAAATATGGCAACCAGGGGTCCGTTCATGTATTTGCCTTTGTTGTTTTTTAAAAAGAAAAACCATGATGCCTTTGTATTTGCTGTTTGCACCCCTGAGATCAATTCCATACCATGTTTGAAATGCCATACATTTTGCACATGTACTGTACATAGGTAATGCATATGTATTTTTATATGTGTGCCCATTTATCATCAGATCTTTTGTACATAGTGGCAGTATTGTAGCGAACCGGGAAATGTTTGATATCTCAGCAATTTTGCATTTTTTTTGTGTCTCAAATAAAAAGAAAACCATTTTGATGTACTATGATTCTTGCTATGCCGAGAAAAGACCCCCACCACTACGGGGGGCAGGGCCTTTGGGGCCCGGGGAAGAGCACGGGCTTGAAGGCCAGGGCAGGGCCTTTAGCATGGACATTTCCAGCAGAAGGGCAGGCTCACCGGGGGCATTCTGGGAAGCACATGGAAAGTTAAGACATCCGCCAAGTCTAGGGTTGTGAGATACACAGTGAAAACACACAGGTTCCAGGTGGGCTGGACCAC